TSGTTTGGACTGGGCTGAGATCTCCTGGTAGTTCCCAGCATGGTCTGAATTCTCCAAATGCTGAGGCAGARTGGGGTGAGGAAGCTGCAGGGAGCTGTCAGTGTAGGACACAGCCTCTGCAGCGTGTCCTTTGTCACCCTGAGCCCAGCAGWGAGCTGCAGGGATTGATTGCTGCCACACCTGCTGCAAGAAATTACTGGGGATCTCTGCAGCTGTGCAGMTCTTGATGAACTGCCTCTGTGAGGMACAGACATCTGCCTTCCTAGGGAAATAATAAAAGGCTGCAGAATGGTTATCTGGGGGCAGAAATGTGAGCTTTCACCTCTTTGCTTCCCCTTCACAGAGGGRKTCAGCACCCTGAACTCAGGATTCCRTCCTCCCCAAAGGTATTTACCCATTCTGACACTGGACTGTGAAACAGTGGAGCACCTTTTCTCCAAAAGCAATAAACTGCTTTTCTTATGCCCAGGTTCCATCTGAGATAAACTCCTTTTTGGGATTTTTTTTTTTCTTTTCTTCCCTTCAGTCGGCAATAATTTTATTCCTCAGGCGTCGCCACGCCCTTATGTCTTCATTATTCAGCGTCCATTCCCAAACTGATCAGAAGCCCACAGATCTCTSCCGTAGCACAGCCCCTGACATCAGGCTGGAAATAATTCCCTCATGCAGGAAATAGCTGGGACACGCCGCTACCGACGGTTGCTGTGGAGAAGGACGGAGCTGCCCAGCTATTCGAGGTTTTCCAAGCTCAGTCACATGCAGCAGAAGGGGAAGACAACGTTTTCCCCTGCCAGGTTTTGAGYTGTGCCTAAAAATCCTTCCCCTTGGACRAGAGGAGTGCTGTGGATGCTTCCCGAGGCTGAGCCCGCAGTCGTGGTGGCTCGTGCTGTGGGACACCTCAAAATTTCTGCGAAGGTCATAATTTCCTGTATTTCTTTCCATGAAATCGTGCCCTGATTTTGAGTTTTAGATGGATGAAGCATCAAAGCAAGAGGCCCTCAGTCCCAAACAGTGGCTGACTTGGATCTGCTCTCAATGGGGCTGTGTTGAAACAATCAAAGCAGCGCGGAGTCCATTCCATGAGGAGCACAAATGGCAGCACCATCCCAGAGCTGGAATTTTCCAACCTCTCCAGCTGAAATTAAATCTCAATGCCAAACCGAGGTGGTATAACCAAAGAGAAGCAATAAAGGTGCATGAAACAAAGTGGAAATGAGAGAGGGAATTGGGAAGGAGAATGGACAAATCCAGAGCGAAACGGTCAACACGTGTTTTGAGTCAAGCAAAAAGATGTTTTGCTGAAAGATTCRCCAAAATCAATACAGGTCTACGAAAGAATTCAGCTTTAATAAATCAATGTTTCTCAGCGAAATAGGGATTTATGTTTCAAAAATTCAATCACCTCTGCSTACAAACCTCATTGAGTTCAGCTTTGTTTCAGGTATGCAAGCTAAAAACCTGCGTGCATTTTGATTAGTGCATTTCTGGAGTGCAATTTTTTCTGCAGATGGTGCAGGATAAAATTATCTATCCCAAGTCAGCTAAAGTCTGTGACAAGATTTCCACAAAATCTGGTGAACTAGGCCTGGCCTAGAGTGAGAGGCTGAAGCATGGGATTAAATAAATCCCCTACAGCTCTCTGCTTAAATATGTATCAATWAAAAAGGAATATTTTAGTGATAAAAGGTTTTAATCTCTTACAAATTAGCATAAATTCTCAGCTGTCCTATTTTTTTTTTTTTTAATTTAAACCTGTTAATATAACTTGAAAAGCTTTCTCTCTGATGATGGACTCCTAGGAGCTTCAAGTATTTAATCATGTGTCTAACCTGAAACCTTTTCAGGCCCCATCAGATACATTATTAGGTATCTCTCAGAAAAACTAAAAAGAAAAAAAAAAAAGGAAGAAAAGGTCTGCAAAAGCCTTGGAGGGATGAAATGAAACGCACGGATAATGTTTCAAAAACTTAGACCCATGTGGTTTTTGAAGAGTGAAGAACACTTGTGATCAAAGGGAAAACAGTTTCAGGGGTTTTTAACAAGACTTTTTGATTTTAAATCATGTATTATTAGTCTGGGGCACTCCTATTTTCATAAAGTCAAACACTTCATACAGTGTAATTTTGTAACCAGAACACTGCTGAAGTTAAAATCCTGAACTTAACTGTACTTTAAAAGTTGTCCAGTTTGGCTGCTTTACTGAAGGTAGTGAATATCATTTTAAAATTGAATGTAGTCCCTGTGTTTTTCGTGTATTTCAATAAATACAATTCCTCTTTCAAAGCAAGCAAAACGCTCAAAATACGGATTGAGCTTTCTTCTAACCGCAAATTAAAATTAATATTTTGAGATTTTCCACCGGAGAGAGTCCTAATCATGAAACAGGAGTGAGGAACTGGGATGAAGAAGGAGATATCCCCTTTCCTAAACACACAATTTGTCTGTGTGATGACTGAAACAGCTGCCTGGTTTGCCACAGGTGGGGCAAGGCAGTGTGAGAGCTGTGAGCAGAGAAATGGGTTTGCAGCCAGAGCCCAGGTCCTGGGCAGGACAATTTTGTGGGAATCTTTGTGTGAAAGCTCCGTGTCAATCCCAAAGCAGCCAGAGCTGCAGGACAGTGGATTCAGGGCTGAACCAAAACTTTGAAACYGAAATAATGGGAAGTTTCGGAAGAAACTTCCAGACAAAAGATGATTTGAAACAAAAGGCTTAAATTCAAGCCTTCTGCTCTCATGCAGAGCCATTTTTTAATATCCTCTCCTTTTTTTTTTTTGCCCCAAAGAAGGGCTTGGCTCCAAGGCCCCAGTGGGAGAGGGTGACTCACTCTGGAGCCACTGCACCAGGCATCTGCATGAGATGTGCAGGACCAGGATGCTGGGCAGGGAGGCTCATTACTCACCACTTGCATAAATCTTTTAGCAAGAGCTGTGAGGAGTCACAGCTGGTCCCTGTGAGATCCCAAGGACCTCCTGAGAGGCAGAGAGAGCTTCTGGTAACTTCTGAAATGTGCAGCAGACAGGCACCCTGAAGGAGGGTACAGCATGACACCCCTGCATTTCCCCACACAAAACCTTCCTCTACCTAGCAGCATTTAATTAATTCTGTTATCTGTAATTAAAATTGCTAGAGAGCAGCTCAGTCCCTACCAAATTGTTTTGGCTCTGTTTAGTCTTATTTTCTCTCGTAAAAAGGCTTGATGGTCCTGGGCTGTCTATTCCTGGGTTGAAAAGTGATGAAATATTTATTCTTTATATACCAAGAGCAAGAGTTTGCAGGGAAAGGCTTCACATAAAAGGGAGCAACCCGATACCTATCAAGGTTGCTCTTAGAACAAATGGTATGTTACCACAAACTGTGCTAACTAAAACTTCTGGAAAGAACATTGTAAAGGCACATCTTGCTTGAAAGCGGCGAAATTCACAAAAACAAACAGCAGGTTGGAATTTGTCCTAACTAAAGACTAGATTACAGGCAAAATGTTCAGTTCTTACCCCAGTCTTTTAGAGGGACTTATGAAATACACCCTCATTAAAGTCCTTTTTATCCACAACACTTTAAACAGGTCATAAACAATTTGGAGTAGGAACAGAAGGAGAGATATGACAAAACGCTGCTCTGCAGATTAGAGAACAGAACTTAAGTCCTTTTTCCTGTAAGCAGTTCCATTAGGACTATTTCCACATGCGAAGTTTTGGAACATCATACCCACAAACTATAAAGGAAAATTAAAACAACAAACCAACAGTGTCTGAGTACAGCCAGACCATAATGTTGTAGCAGATGTCGGGATTTGTTCTCAAAGGGTAAGATTTGCTCATAAATGGGTCTTCAGTGCCTGAGCTGGAAAGATCTGCAGCTGCAGTAGGTTCATCATCCACAAAAATGAGGACAGTACARACTGCACATTTCAAGTAGTTCTGARTTACAGTCACTGGACTGAGTCCAAAAAACCTAAATATTCATAGTTAATGAGCATATTGTGAGCTTTTAACTCAACACAATGTTAATGTCAGTTGTGTTATTTGCAGTAAGGAACTTCCTTGGACAGAGAGGCCTGCAGGGAAATTGTTGAGCTGTCCAACCCCCCTGTGCTGCTGAGGCAGCTGCATTTTCAAAGAATATTCAGCTGGGAAGCTGGTGAACCTTTTGGGACACCAGAAACTTACTCAAGGACAAGGCTGCACCATAATAGCAGAGCCAGGCAGCTGGCATTGAATATAGATGAGRTTACAAAGGAATGTTTGACCCCAAAACAAAGCTGACAGGTGTGGAGGACATCTGGTTCAGACTGGTGAAGTCTGCCAGGTGTGTGAGGSAAGTGCTTGAAGTGAAAATACCAGGAGGGAAACAAGCAGTGGGGAGAAAGGCAATGTAGAAGGAAACCCACAGGCCCATGAAACACTGAGTAAAAAAGAAAAGGATTATGATGGGAGAACGTGCCAGGGATCTACGAAAGTCCCCAAATTACTGGCATCTCAGAGACCTGGAATGGCCAGCCTCATAGACAGCCTGTGAATTGCTTCTCTTACTGCCATCACTGGGGATAGGATATCTGCCATTCACCTTTAGGACATTTCTTCAGTTCTGATCACAGAATCACAGAACACACATGGCTGGAAGGTACCTCTGAAGATATCCAGTCCAGCCCCCTGCCATGGCAGAGTCACCTGGAACAGGGGACGTGTCCAGGTGGAGTTTGATTGTCTGATATACCTTGTGTCCATTGAGATGGTGGAATGATAAAAAAACTCAGGTACCAAAACACAGAACATCTGCAGACTCATGGAGACTTTGATACATCAAAACACTGCTGAGGGTGAAACCTTACCTTCAAACTCTGCCTGTCTCCATCTGCCAGCGCTACTTTAAAAGACATTTTAGCTTTTAAAAACCCGCGCAAAACTCAAGAGCCGAACCGAAACGCACGCGAAAGGCGCGGCTCCTCGCGGCAAGCATGCTGGAAAGCGCGACCGAAAAAAAGGAAAATAAGAAATGCTTACGTTCGTAGCAGTAGGCATCAAACTTGCTATCGGGGTAAGGGAAGCCCGTTTGGTTCTCATAGCGATACAGGGTTCTCACCCCAAGCAAACCCCCGCCGCACTGGGGCCGCGCCACGGAGGCCGGGTACCGGACGCTGCCGTCCGCCAGCCAKCCGTAGTCGCACTGGTCRAAGCCGTTCCTCCAGGCCACGTAGAGGTTCCCCACGGAGGCCAGGACGCCTCCTCTGTCCTCACACAGCTGCCTGGCTTCCTCRAAGGTGAACTTGTCAGGGGCTGTGACGTGGACCACTTCATCTGGAGGAGGAAAGGAGAAAGAACGAGGGTTAAGCAGCGCGTTCCGTCATCAGTCAACCCAGCTCATGCAAGGTTGGGTTTGTTTTTTTTTTTACCAAAACGTGAGCATTTTTTTTCCTTAAAAAGAAAAATAATGGGATGGTTGTAAACCTAACGTTCCAGGCTTTAATTTGAAAGTTTAACTGCCACAAAGCATGAGCGTTTATAAGCAAACTTGATGCCATGAAGGGCTGGACAGTGAGTCCCTTCCTTGGTCTCTAGCAGAGGTAACAGCAGCCTTGAAGCCCTCCCATGACCTCTCTCAGAGTAGATTTTGCAGCTCGACTGAGCTAATTAAATCCAGTCCATCAGAATTTACTTTTTCCATAAAATGTATCTTTTAATTCTGCAAGCCTCCTGTCTGACTCTTTAAGGCATCACTAGAGTCCCACTYGAAACACCCCAAAAAAAAGGAAATGTTCTTCACTGTCTGCTCTGATGTCAGATTTCCATCAGCCTTCATCTTGCCCCATGTGGAAACAAAGGTGAGGAAATGCACAAGACATGTTGCATGCACAAAGCCCTCTTTGTGTGGAAAAGTTGAATTAGCCCAGAGTGTTGATAGTACATTTCAGCTTCCAAGGAATAACAGTTTGTGAGTAACAGCCATCCAGATGGAAACGAAAACAAAGCAAACAGCACATCTAATTTAATTTTGCTTCCAAGGTAAATCACCATTGTGCAGCTGTTGCCTCATTCACCCAAACACTCTAAAGAAAAATCAAGCCTCTCRTGTCCATGTYCTGGGAATGAAGCAGTAAACTGACYCTTTTCCAGATTTTACTTAGATTTCAGATGAAACCAATGGGGCCTAAAATGAACCTTTTCAAACCAGAAGCACAAATTCAAAATATTTGTTGCAAGACAGTGATTCCCCCACTCAGCCACTGCAGTCCTGAACACAACAGCCACTGCTGCAGGAAAGCACTGCTTTTCCACGCTGGCCATTGCAATCTGTCTGAGCCCTGAGCACAGGTCTGAAGGGAGCCCAGAAAAACGCAGACACAAACTACATCACCCCGAGCAGTTTCATTCACATCAATATTACACTTGTTTGGGGACTGAAAGGAATGCAAGTGTGAAAGCAGGCAAGGTGCCAACTTTCTTTCTCCTCCTAGGTAGAGGCTCTGGGTTGTTATTACAGCTGTAGCACTGATCCCATAGTGTAATTTTCTTTACACGTGCTGTGAGCAGCTTCCAGAGGTAGAGGGACAGAGCGTGTCTATTGGAGAGGGATTGATAAGGRAAGCAAAGAGCCATTCATCCTCAGAATGGCTCATTCAGCCCTTCATTCCACACAGATAATGAGCATTTTTTATTGCACCCTTCTGTATCTGCCTGCCTGCTCTGGTACCCAGCACAGGGTGATGGATGCAGTTATCCCAACATCCTGTCCCAACAGCAGCATCGTGAAACAGGGGAGGAAAGAAATGCTGACCTCTCTGCTCTGGAGAGTGACCACTGATCCTCTCCCACAGCAGCCATGATGTATATGGAAATTAGCTGTCAAAAATGCAATTTAATTGTATTTGGAGAGCAGATATAATTGTAGTTATATACCAGGTAATTATATAGACAAGGAAGCGAGACAAGTGAAGAAGAACAATGAATTGCTGTGACTTCTGGAAATAAAGAAACTAATTTCAGACAACCTCGCAACATTTTTTCTGAGAGAAACTTATGGAATACATAGGGAAATGGGCAAATTGCACTAGAAAAGCAATTTTTCCATCAAGTGATTTGGATCACTGGGTCCAAATGGGGTTTGTACCACAACAAAGAGGGCTGAGAGTGGGAATGAATTCACTTCCAGCATGTGGCTGAAACATCCTTCAAAGTACCAAAGAGAAAAGAACTTGACCCTTGCACAGAAACTTCTTCTAAAAAGCAAGAAAAATAATTCTGAAGTCAATGAAATATATTTAATCCATGAAGTCTCTACAATTCACTCCTGCTTTTGAAAGCACAACAACTTTCATATTCAACAGGAGGACTGATCCTACCACACTCTCAGTGTTTTCATTATGACTGGAACAATTTCCCAGCCAAAACACTGARAACAATGAAATTAAGAGGGGAAAACTCATCTGCTGGACAAACAAATGACATAGCCACCAACACCAGGCAGGGGAAAAKTCAATTCTGTGCGTGTCAAACAGCCACGTGCAGTGTTTTTATAGCTGGAGCACACCCTGAGTAACTCAGCAGTATTGTGCAGGCAAAGCCCAGGGCTTAGGCCAACAGATGAAGAAAAACTGGTTCTGCAGTACCAGGGGGAGGGGTGGGGAACGTGACAGTGTTTAGGCTGCAGACTATAATGTAATGTGTGTTATTGCTGGCTCCTGCTCCAAACCAGGCTGATGGAGCGGCCTTAGCGCTCAGAGCACTCAAAGGATCCCCAGGATTTTCCTCTTAAATGTGTTTGTTTTGCTTGGTCAAGAGAGACACCTGATCAAAATTTTCCCATTTCTTTCCAAAATATCAGGGCAGATGAAGCAGCCAGGTTTTACTCTTGAAAACAAAAGCGGGTTGACCTACAACCCCTCASGAAAAAGTTTAAGATCTACAAGACTTAGAATTTTATAGCAATTTTCATTGCTTTGGTGAACTTTCTGTCATCAGGCCAGAACCAAAGCCAGAGATTAACCTGTGTTGACTGGGGTAAATAACATAGGTCTGGATTCAAGCCCCCAGCACAGACCTAAGCCACAACTTATTTTTCCACAGATTAAAATGTGAAAACACAGATGGAAAATTAAGGGATTTGTGGGCTGCTGCTTCCTAGAGGAGACTTTTGAGCCTGTTTACATGGCACTCCCATCTCAGAGCAGATCATCATCTCCAACATGCCAGGCACAGCAAAAGTCCCCCACACCTGGCAGGTGAAAGGATCACAAATTTTGATCGTGACAAAAGTTTTACAGAAGTCTGAATGATTCTCCCAAACTGCAGAGAAGTTAGGAGGGAAACTGGGAATCTTCTGAATGCTTTTGGCACATCTGATTTTAACCARCTGCTGTGGAATAAAACCCAACCACCTGTGCAATGCCCTTGCTTTTATCCAGTTCATGTGAGGGTTTGTAATATTTTCAGTCTTATTCCCCATTTTGCTCTCCAAGACAATCAGGGGCCTTCATYAAGATGTGGTTTAAYGGTGAGCRTGGGGCTGCTGCTGGGATGACATGATGACCTTAAAAAACCCCAAAAACACACAAAACAACCAAGAAAAAGCTTTCCAGGGCCTTTTCATTTTAGCTCCTTGGTGCTGTTTTACTTTGAGGACAAGAAACACTATTTCCACTAAGAATTTGGCAGCTTTTTTTTTTTGTTTTGTTTTGG